TAAAAGAAAGAAGGAACAAACCCAGACGCTTGTGTATAATGAAGAGTCCTGTAATACACAGGAAGGAATTTGTAATCTGTTTTCCAAATATTTCAAGGATTTATCAATGCTAAAATCATGATATCAATTTTGACTCAGATTTTACTGATTATGTGAATATTCGAAAATGATTCGTATAATGACCAAGGGAACAGTGACGTTAGTTCCACGTTGATTTGTCCTTTCACATCTGATGAGTTATTGACAACTATAAAACGTCTAAAAAGTGGAAAGTCGCTTGGTCCCGATGGCATAGTTAATGAACATATTAAATACTCTATTACCCATCACCTTGTTATATTCTATAAAAAAAATTGTTTCTCATTAATATGTACCTAAAATGTTTAACGTTGGAAAGATTTTACCCATCCATAAAGGCCATGGTAAATGTAAAGATGACCCCACGAACTACAGAGGTATTACCCTCACTCCAGTATTAAGTAAACTGTTCGAAAGACTTCTGCTGAATAGAATTGAAGAGTGGGCAAACAAATCTAAAGGCTTCCCCCATCCCTTTCAATTTCGATTTAGGAGAGGGGCTGGGGCAGAAACTGCCCTGTGTACATTAATGGAAAGCATAGCTTATCATAACGAAAGGCAGTCTCCAGTTTATTGCGCTTTTCTCGACAACGAGAAAGCTTTTGACAGAGTCTGGCTTAATGGTCTTTTTTTCAAATTGTATAACTTTGGTATTAATGGAAAATTATGGCGACTTTAACGCACAATATATACCTCAATGCAGTCATGTGTAAGCATTGGAGGTTTTACCTCAAATGTGGTTCATGTTAAGCAAGGTGTTGGTCAAGGTCGCGTTTTATCGGCATGGCTTTTTACTCTATATATTAACGATTTGTTGTATTCACTTGATGATTCAGGGCGTGGTTTGTGTCTTCCATGGGGTAATACCCCCGGCATCCTATTAGCAGACGATACTACGCTGTTGAGCAGCTCCCCTGACGGACTGCAATGTCTACTGAATGATATATACACCTATGCTAATAGATGGCATTTGAAATATAATGCCAGTAAAAGTGCATTTCTACTGTTTGGGAATATTCGCAAATCTGTGTGTCAATGTGTCTACATTGGTTCACAAGTACTTCCTAAAAAGGAAAATGTAACTTATGCTTGATTGCTTTTAAGTACATCAAAGAAAACCTTAGAACGTACCCATCTAATATGTGAAAAACTCAGAATGTTTGTCAATATAAATTATAATCATGGATTATACTTTGGTGGTTTAAATCCTATCCCAGCTGTTCGTATATGGAAAGGGTAATTTTACCATGTGGATTTTTTGCTTTTAGTGTATGGGGTAAACTGTCACCAAAGGAATACGAAATGTTTGAAATTATTCAACGTTAGTTTTGTAAAAAGATTCAAGGAGTGTCTAGACGCACTCCTTCCGTCGTCACCAGAGATTGTCTGGGTTTAATTTCTCTCCAGGCGTACATTGATCAACGAGCTCGCTTATTCCTTGGAAGTCTATGTAATAGTGGCATTAACTTTGCATTTAAAAGACGATTGCAGCCCAGACCTGTTCAGTATGAACTCGATACAATTAAAGAAAAAGATGATAAATGTAAAATGTCACCCGTATACCACATGCTTTCACTTGTAAACAAGTATGAACTAAAAAATGATATAAACACCTATACCACCTATTCTCATTTCCCCTCAAAACATGCATGGGCGAGTCGAGTTAAAGAACAAATAAGCGTTTGTGACCATAACGTAATTCATGCAGAGATTCATTCAAGAGAAAGCCTTAAACGATACTCTCTTATACGATCACCTAAGGTACACAGACTTTGGTTACTAACAATTGAAAGGCCGGAACACTTCTATGATTTAGCATATTTATTATGTTTAGCACCTACAGTATACAATCTGATGAATGTTTATGCGGCACATTTGCTTTTGATATTATCAAACATGTGTTTATGTATTATAAAAAGACTCAACAACAAAGAAATATTCTTGTTGAGTCTATTATTGATTCACTAGATGTGACAACTTTTTCTAGTATCTGGAACGATGATGACGATACCTTTGCCAACAGAAAGTACTATGACAATTGAATACAATCTATGGACAAATATAATGCTCCGTGTATGTAAAACTGTTACAATGTGGAAAAACCTACTGAGAAACATTTAAGAATTGAACGTCAGTTTGGATGGGTTCATTGAAGTGTGAACGATTGAAAAACGATGCTTAAACTGTGTGAACCTCCATCGCTTTTCAATCGTTCACACTTCAATGAACCCATCCAAACTGACGTTCAATTCTTATAATTTCATACTTTATAGTTTACTGGTCTCGCCGAATAATATCCTACCAATGTTTGCTTAAATTAGAAGTCCTCTGGCTTCGCCGAAGAACATTGCAACAATGTAATTTTGTCGGTATTTGCCGGCTCTCGGTCTCATACGTTTCCCTACTCATACTCAGTTACGCAAAGAAAAATAGTTCTTTGAATATATACAACATAATCTTGAAATATGTCAACATAATTTCATTCTCTGAACAAATTACACAACCAATATTTGGGATAAATCAAATCTTAAAAATAGGTTACAGGAAGTTGAACAAAAATATAAACATGACCTCGATGCACCGAGGCGAGGTCAACCTTCACGCGCGGATTTATATATGACGTCACATAAGTTTGTAAAGAGGTGCATTTCGAGTCGAACGGGAGCATGAGGATAAAATTTATACTTTAATATATATATATTACTGCTGTTGAAAATGACGTTTATGGAGCAGTTATGGATAACACCCCGACGCGTGAACCCTCTCATGGCACTAGCAAATTTGGAATATCACCGATTTATGATTGTGTTGCATGTGTTTGGATAATCGCAAACCAATTCGGACGATGCGGAATGGACTGGTAGGGATTGAACCGAGTGCTCTGAAACTTGCGTGTTTTCTGTGAATTTTCAACGTCAGGGTGTGTTATATTTGGAGTTTGGGATTTGTCGCGTGTGCTGTACTACTTTGCTTAGCTGGTGTTTCTTGTCACCTGAGATTGACCTACTGTATGATCTGATGCCAGCGTCAATCCTCATGTGCCGCCGCTTCTCGGCCTAGAATGCACTCAGAAACCGGAATATAGTAGATTTCTAATTCCGTTTACGGATATTTTCTCGTCTCCGATGACCAATCGATAAAACAGGTAGGCACGTTTTTGGATGTTTTTTTAAAAAAAAATTTAAGTTTCATTCCTTACCTTTTTATGTTTTATGGTTTCTCAAAATCTCAGATTTTTTTCCCGATACGATAGTAAATTCGGGTTTTAGTTTGGGATTGATCAGGAGCAGTCGCGTTTGCTCTGTCAGCGGACTCATGTGAGCAGGGTACGACATTGTTTTCGTTGTCGCGAGATTCCTGTCATTTCCGAAAACAAGGCATCAAAGTCAAAATCGCTCAATAAATCAATTTCGTTCACATCAGTAATTTTACAGAAATAATTTTCTTCACTTGCGTTATTAGTATTGAAAGATTGCCATTCCATATTCAAATCACCGCAAGGACAATCCATCTTGTTTCCTGTCGCAGCTAGATGACATCAATCACCAGAACCAAAGCATTTATTTATAAGTCCGCTGAAATGCAACAAGACCAGGCAAAAATACTAAATTAATTATATTGCTGATAAATGCAGGTATTAAAAAGAAAAAAGAAAAACGAGTTGATCGTAAACAACGATCGAGGATAGTAGTTCCGGCAAAAGTTCACACGATCAATTTCACACAAAATTGTTCACATCGTGTGAACTTTGTCTGTCCGTCACAGGTGTGTGAACTCCAAACATCAGATCCCGTGACTACCCATTCAGCCAATTAGCATGAAAGAAACAGTGTAAACTTCAAAGTATGAAATAATTATTTGATAACGATGTGAAACTGCCTGTACATACAATATATCAGGTGTTATATATATACATTTGTAGAACACCGTAATATCTCATATCAATGTATCTTCATCAATTGGAGGAAATAAAGATGATCTATCTATCTTTCTATCTATCTATCTATCTATCTATCTATCTATCTATCTATCTATCTATCTATCTATCATTGAACACTATCTGACGTCCGAGGTGAGTACATGCCTCGCTATATAAACACATTGAACACTATTAGACGTCTACCTGAGTACATGACTCGCTATACAGACACATTGAACACTACCTGACATCTACCTCAGTACAAGACTCGCTGTACAAGCACTTGAACGCTATTCGAAGTCTACCTGAGTGCACGACTCGCCATACAGTCACATTAAACACGATCTGACGTCCACCTAAGTGAGTACTCGGCTCGCCACACATACACATAGAACACTATCTGACGTCTACCTGAGTACACGATTCGCTATACAGACAAATTTAACACTATCTGACGTCCATCTGATTACATGCCTCGCTATACAAACACATTGAACCCTATCTGATGGCCACCGGAGTGAGTACATGGCTCGCCATACAGACACATTGAACACTATCTGACGTCTATCTGAGTACATGCATCGCCATACAAACACATTGAACACTATCTGACGTCCGCCTGAGTACATGACTCGCTATAATGACACTTTGAACACTATAAGGACTCAATATGAGAACACTTTATGAGTATATGACTCGCTATAACACCCGCCATATAGATACTTCAACACAGTAACGATAACGGTTGTTCGCGAAAAGGTGATACCCGTTGCAAACACATGCAAAGGCAAGTCAGTTGTTCACCTGGAAAAACACGACAACATACGGTACAAGTCAAAACAGGGAATTGCATTGTACATATTTTTTGTCACTTATGCGGCAAATTTGGAAATGTTCTCCACATGTCTACTTTTAAACGTTTTAGAAAGATTTGCTTTTCGCCATAAACATATATTAACACAATAGCGCATACATGAGTATAAGAACCGAAGTTGTTGTTTACCTGAAGATAACTGCGTGCAGCGTGAGCTGCTGGTGACTGCAGACTGACCCGTGGTCACTAGGGCAGGTGCGCGCTGAGAGTCACATTGGGATTATCTCCAAGGAGATTGGCGACTTAGGTTAAATCCTCAAGAAGTAATCCCGCTTGAGTGAATAAACCATTGTTATCAATCACTTATTAGAACTGTGGAAATACTGTTTTTTCTTTGGCTGCTTGTGCTTACGGATTTCGTGAATCTGCCACTGAGGCCATGTACTTTATATTACGTAAAAGCAGATTATTCAATATATCAATAAAATGCCAACTATATCTCCTCGATGCTATGATAAAACCAATTCTATTATATGGTTGTGAAAACTGGGGTTTTAGAAACTGTTGAAATTGATTCATTTCATGTGAAGCGTTTATGTAAATTACTTCCCACTGAGAAAAGACCACATTTGAACAGGTTATATGGAGAACATTGAAGAGTACCTTTACTTAACTCGATTAAATATCTAATGGTATGTTGTTGGGCTAAGCTCTTATCTGGCAAAGAACAAATGTTCAAGAATCATATATTAAATGTTACATAATGAAGTCTGTACAAAACAACAGCTGTCATAAATGGATAAAATGTTTGGAAAGTATTTTCAATGAAACGGGCTATAGTTTTTATTGGCTAGGCCAACAAGTAAGTCTTCCTCATTTCTTTATATCTATCATTTCTTCAAGATTATCTGACAAAGCAACATGGAATGCAGTGATTACACATTCTTCTAAAGTTAGCACATATCGCATATTAAAAACTGAGTTCGTTCTTGAAAAGTATTAATCATTTATGCCTTTCTTTTTATCTGTTAAAACTTTCTTGTTTAGAACTTCATGCCATCATTTACCTATTGAATTAAGCAGGTGGCACGAACGGAAAATATTTGTTCTAAATTCATATCTTAAAAACCCAAATATGCTTAAATTAAAACAACTATTTAATTGTAAATAAATGAATAAATAAATACATTATGTACATCATGTCATGTCATAGGAACTGTAAACTCTTCCAAATATACCTTCCTGACATCTTGTGTATATACTGTCTGCAGACGTGTGCCTCATATTTCGAGTATCCCGGTGTAGGAGGCTCAAATGACTCCCAAGGCTCAGACGACTCGAGAGTTATTTGAGCCTAGGCTCAGATGACTCCCCTTAGGCCCAAACCCTAACCCTGTGTTCTGTTTCTGTTATGTTCTGATGCCTCAGTAGCATTCTGGGTGTTAAATCTAACCCTAACCCTAACCCTAACCCTAACCTTAACCCTGTTTCTGTTATGCTCTGATGCCTCAGTAGCATTCTGGGTGATAAATCTAACCCTAACCCTAACCCTAACCCTAACCCTTACCCTCTAACCCTAACCCTAACCCTGATACCTCAGTAGCATTCTGGTTGTTAAATCTAACCCTAACCCTAACCCTAACCCTAACCCTAACCCTAACCATAACCATAAACCCTAACCCTAACCCTAACCCTAACCCTAACCCTTACCCTAACCCTAACACTAACACTAACCCTGTGTTCTGTTTCTGTTATGTTCTGATGCCTCAGTAGCATTCTGGGTGTTAAATCTAACCCTAACCCTAACCCTAATCCTAACCCTAACCCTGTTTCTGTTATGCTCTGATGCCTAAGTAGCATTCTGGGTGATAAATCTAACCCTAACCCTAATCCTTACCCTAACCCTAACCCTAACCCTAACCCTAACCCTAACCCTTACCCTTACCCTAACCCTAACCCTAACCCTAACCCTAACCCTTACCCTTACCCTAACCCTAACCCTAACCCTAACCCTAACCCTCTATCCCTAACCCTAACCCCAACCCTGATACCTCAGTAGCATTCTGGTTGTTAAATCTAACCCTAACTCTAACCCTAACCCTAACCCTAACCCTAACTCTAACCCTAAACTCTAACCCTAACCCTGATGCCTCAGTAGCATTCTGGGTGTTAAATCTAACCGTAATCCTAATCCTAAAATTAATCCTAGCCCTAATCCTTACTGTTCTATATTTCTCTTTTAAAAACTTTGTTGTGCTGTGGGTAGAGAGCGGCCAGTGCCATGTTGTGCTGTGGGTAGACAGCGGTCAGTGCCATGTTGTGCTGTGGGTAGACAGCGATCAGTGTCATGTTGTGCTGTGGGTAGACAGCGATCAGTGTCATGTTGTCCTCTGGGTAGACAGCGATCAGTGCCATGTTGGCTGTGGGTAGAGAGTGATCAGTGTCATGTTGTGCTGTGGGTAGAGAGTGGTCAGTGCCATGTTGTGCTGTGGGTAGACAGCGGTCAGTGTCATGTTGTGCTGTGGGTAGACAGCGATCAGTGTCATGTTGTGCTGTGGGTAGACAGCGGTCAGTGCCACGTTGTGCTGTGGGTAGAGAGCGGTCAGTGCCATGTTGTGCTAAGGATAGACAGCGATCAGTGCCATGTTGTGCTGTGGGTAGACAGCGATCAGTGTCATGTTGTGCTGTGGTTAGATAGCGATCAGTGCCATGTTGTGCTGTGGGTAGACAGCGACCAGTGTCATGTTGTGCTGTGGTTAGATAGCGATCAGTGCCATAATGTGCTGTGGGTAGAGAGTGGTCAGTGCCATGTTGTGCTGTGGGTAGACAGCGACCAGTGTCATGTTGTGCTGTGGTTAGATAGCGATCAGTGCCATGTTGTGCTGTGGGTAGAGAGTGGTCAGTGTCATGTTGTGCTGTGGGTAGAGAGTGATCAGTGTCATGTTGTGCTGTGGGTAGACAGCAGTCAGTGCCATGGTGTGCTGTGGGTAAGGAGTGGTCAGTGTCATGTTGTGCTGTGGGTAGAGAGTGGTCAGTGTCATGTTGTGCTGTGGGTAGAGAGTGGTCAGTGTCATGTTGTGCTGTGGGTAGACAACGGTTCTGTGAACGCGCATTTCTTGAGATTAATCAGCAGTAAACCTGACTCTGGTGTTGTGATATGTGTTTCCTTGTGGTTGTCCATGAGTATGTTGTGAAACAATCGCCGACATGTCCTCTGCACAATGTAACACCCGATACGTCAGCCGATAATTACACAGCGGGGTCAGCCGAGGGCTCCGGGGAGAACAGAGAAGACTTGTTTGTCATGCATCACTGCACGGGGAGCTGCTTCATGCACAGACGGTGGACATGGGGAGAAAGTCACAAGTGAAAGGGTAAGACGCTTTCTATATATTAGATTATGTTGCTGACGGTTTATCAGTATTCATATATACGGGTTCTTGTCTGACTGATGGCAGTCAGAAGAGAAAGCTGGTCACGTGATCTTGTTTCTGCTCACTTCATGTACACGGACCACGTCTGTCCAGGTCACGCTACATCAAACTTTTGATTAATGAAAATATCATGTGCGCACAGTTGCAGAAAAGGACAATGACAACTTCAAGAGCCAATCTATGTAAAGTATTACATGGATCGAATGGGGGAATTCGTCTGTACGTCAATAATCTTATATGTGTAAATACCTAAAGAAGGGACCGAAGTGGCCATGGTTGACTAACCCAGCGTTGAGTCAGAGAACAATGGGCAGGTCGTGTGAGGTTTCTCTCAGTGGGGACGATAGCTCACGCTGTGTTACACAAATAGTGGCTGACAGAAACAGTGACATTTGCGATGAGATACACGGACATCTGGCACAAAATTATCGAGTTTCCTTTGAAAAGGATCTTTTTAATACAATGACGATGAAGAGAAACTGAACAAAGTGAGACGTTGCCAAAGAAAGATGTAACGACACACGGGAAGGGCATTTACCTAAACGTGCACAGAGAGGGCAGTCTAAGAAGTCGGTGATAGAGAAATATGGTTCAAATGTGTACTTCATATACCACTTCATATACAGGGGCAATGACATGCACATCTATGTAGAAGGCAAGTCTGATTAGCGTGTAACCAGCATAGAACCACCCAGGGGCAATGACAGGCTACTTTAATCTTTGCAGAAGGCAAGTCTGATTAGCGTGTAACCAGCATAGAACCACCCAGGGGCAATGACATGCTGACTTTAATCTTTGCAGAAGGCAAGTTTGATCCGCGTGTAACCAGCATAGAACCACTTAGGGGCAATGACATGCTGACTTTAATCTTTGCAGAAGGCAAGTCTGATTAGCGTGTAACCAGCATAGAACCACTTAGGGGCAATGACATGCTGACTTTAATCTTTGCAGAAGGCAAGTCTGATTAGCTTGTAACCAGCATAGAACCACCCAGGGGCAATGACATGCTGACATTAATCTTTGCAGAAGGCAAGTTTGATCAGCGTGTAACCAGCATAGAACCACTCAGGGGCAATGACATGCTGACTTTAATCTTTGCAGAAGGCAAGTCTGATCAGCGTGTAACCAGCATAGAACCACCCAGGGGCAATGACATGCTGACTTTAACCTTTGCAGAAGGCAAGTCTGATTAGCGTGTAACCAGCATAGAACCACTTAGGGGCAATGACATGCTGACTTTAATCTTTGCAGAAGGCAAGTCTGATTAGCATGTTACCAGCATAGAACCACTTAGGGGCAATGACATGCTGACTTTAATCTTTGCAGAAGGCAAGTCTGATTAGCTTGTAACCAGCATAGAACCACCCAGGGACAATGACATGCTGACATTAATCTTTGCAGAAGGCAAGTTTGATCAGCGTGTAACCAGCATAGAACCACTCACGGGCAATGACATGCTGACTTTAATCTTTGCAGAAGGCAAGTCTGATTAGCGTGTTACCAGCATAGAACCACCCAGGGGCAATGACATGCTGACTTCAATCTTTGCAGAAGGCAAGTCTGATTAGCGTGTAACCAGCATAGAACCACGTGTCCATTCCTAAATTGAAACAATATGTTAACCCAGAAATATGCATGTAAAAGAGCTTAGTGTGAAACCAACAACCAACAAGCGGTATACAATCAACAAATGTATTACAAAATTAACTAGGTTTACAAATCGATTCAAATTACTGCACATCAGTTACAATGGCAGTACACAATAGAGTGGTGGTTTTGTGGAACTTGGAATTTTTAAATAGCTTCCACCCATGCCTTGTCCTACGGCATGATCTAACTTAGCATCCAAGTTAGCAAAAACATTAGAACTGTTAAGCATAGTCAGCAATGCCATCAAACTTGACAAAGTCACAATTCTCGTCAGTATCACAATCTCATACAATATCCACAAGTGAAACAGTGGCAACACAATGAGTAGGTACAATGTCATTTTTTTTCATGATACTTTCTTATCATATTGACATGACAAAGCTGTGTCTTTTCACGACGGCCTGGTGTTTGTACAAAATAGTCAGTATCACTGACATTTCCGTCAGTACTTACCCCGTCATGGTTGTCCAGGGATTGGCAAAATCACGAATACTTTATCGCCAGAACCGAACTTTTTGTTATAATTTACTTTCATTTTGTCCTGGGATTCCGTCAAGTTATCGCTGGCAACTTCACCAGCTTTTAAAAGCCAAGACCCAAATGGTGAGACATACTCCAAAAACTCATTTCAGACCATTCAATGCTCCTTCAAGTAATGTAAAGGTCTGCAAACTGTATGACTAAAGACAATGCCAAAAGGACTAAAACCTAGGACTCCTGGACTGACTCCTTCACAACAAACAACAACACATGAATGCCTTCCTTCTCAGTCTTAAAACACTCAATTAATATTCTTAAGAGTCTGTGAGATCTCTCCAAAGCTCCCTGAGTTTCAGAGTGATATGCGCGAGACTTAAACAGAGTTATGCCCACTAACTGGTGCATAGCCTGTTGGAAAACAACTGACAAGAAATTAGAGCCCTGCTCTGACTGGTCCTAGGCGAACCAACCATGGTGAAGAAATTTACCAAAGCCGTGATAATAACCTGAGCTGTAATTTTCCGTAAAGAGATAGTCACTGGAAACCTTGAGGAGGCACACAAGATGTACTGATTCCGTGACTTTTTAGGCAAAAGACCATCACAATCAATGATGACCCTGCTGAAATGTTCTTCAAAAGCTGGAATGGGTTTCAAAGGTGCGGTTGGGATTTTCTGATTAGGTTTGTCAACCACTTGACAAACATGGCATGTTTTCAAAATAAGCCCCATCATGCCGCAAATTAGGCCAAAAGAAATGGGACAGAAGTTTGTCACAAGTTTTTCTTATACCCAAATGTCCTGCCAAAGGAGTTTCATGTGCCAAACTCAAAACGTGTTTTCGGTTTTAACAATTTGACGGAAAACATTCCATTCATTTTCAGCATGTACATCTGGCGGCCATGAAATGGCTATCCATGAAATAATAGCAAACTGGAACCTGTCAGCTTCTTCTAAAGAGAGTGCCCTGTTGGCAAGAACTGGTTTCTCAAAAGCCAAACTGTCAGAATTTTTATTACTCTCCCTCTATGATCCATAAAAGTGCCAGCCAAATCATAACTGGAATCATTCTCAGAAGAAGTTTGCTTAACCATGGCACAACACAGTAACAACACAGGAAGGAAAAAACCTGTGAATTTCTTTTCAAGATTTTCAGTACTTTCCGAAGTACCAGGCTCAAGACAAACAAAAGGATCAGCCAAACATCTCCCACTACCAAATCATTCCCATTGTGCAAGTCTACAGCTTTAAGAGGCATAGTTTCTACAACCCCCACCTTGACCAACCCAGACACCAAATATGTCTTTAAATTTATAAAATGGACAGTTGCACTGGTAAAACCACAAAAACCCTCTAACGATACCTCGCTGGTGTCAGAAGTGGCAAATTACCATAAAAAAGCAGAGTTTGAAGAGCAACAGTATCCTTTAAAACGGTAAAGGGCTTAACATTGGAACACTCATCTTCAGCTGCAACCTTTATCAACATGAGGGAAGTACCCCTCTCGCACAACAACAGACTTTGGTGACTGATCCACGACAGCTATCTCCTCAGGCTGCAACCTTTATCAACATGAGGGAAGTACCCCTCTCGCACAACAACAGACTTTGGTGACTGATCCTCGACAGCTATCTCCTCAGGCTGCAACCTTTATCAACATGAGGGAAGTACCCCTCTCGCACAACAACAGACTTTGGTGACTGATCCACGACAGCTATCTCCTCAGGCTGCAACCTTTATCAACATGAGGGAAGTATCCCTCTCTCACAACAACAGACTTTGGTGACTGATCCTCGACAGCTATCTCCTCAGGCTGCAACCTTTATCAACATGAGGGAAGTACCCCTCTCGCACAACAACAGACTTTGGTGACTGATCCACGACAGCTATCTCCTCAGGCTGCAACCTTTATCAACATGAGGGAAGTACCCCTCTCGCACAACAACAGACTTTGGTGACTGATCCTCGACAGCTATCTCCTCAGGCTGCAACCTTTATCAACATGAGGGAAGTACCCCTGTCGCACAACAACAGACTTTGGTGACTGATCCACGACAGCTATCTCCTCAGGCTGCAACCTTTATCAACATGAGGGAAGTACCCCTCTCGCACAACAACAGACTTTGGTGACTGATCCACGACAGCTATCTCCTCAGGCTGCAACCTGACATTTACAAAAGCTTTCGGGGAAGAATGACTGTTCTTGAAAGCGAGATTACTACACTCAGAAATGATATGACATGTTTTGTGCAATCTCTACAATCAGGCTCTGACGAAAAACTAGAAGTATGTTTAGAACCAACTGGAGTAGAACTTGACTTAATGTCAACAAACTCAGAACCAGATTTATTAAATTCTGATTTGTAACCCTGCTAACTCATGCCTGTAAACCCAGCAAAACTAGCCCTGTGATTTGGTGAATCATCAGCCAAACTAGCCCTGTGATTGGTGAATCATCAGCCAAACTAGCCGTGTGATATGGTGAATCATCAGCCAAACTAGCCGTGTGATTTGGTGAATCATCAGCCAAACTAGCCCTGTGATTGTTGAATCATCAGCCAAACTAGCCCTGTGATTTGGTGAATCATCAGCCAAACTAGCCCTGTGATTGGTGAATCATCAGCCAAACTAGCCGTGTGATATGGTGAATCATCAGCCAAACTAGCCGTGTGATTTGGTGAATCATCAGCCAAACTAGCCCTGTGATTGTTGAATCATCAGCCAAACTAGCCGTGTGATTTGGTGAATCATCAGCCAAACTAGCCCTTTGATTGGTGAATCATCAGCCAAACTAGCCCTGTGATATGGTGA